GTTTCTAGTGCGGTTTATTTATGAAGTGAGCGTGCGCCTCATTTTCGCATACAGTTGAAGAGTGTGCGCCGTGAGCACAGTAAAACGGCTGATAGGACAGGAAAGTTTGTTTTACTGACATATAACAATAACTCATCAGACTGCGGTTCCCTGTTGTTCTACTGAAGCTCATTTGGCACATGTACCTTTTGCGACCTACATACCTTTTTGAGGGCAAGCTGAAGTGCTCCCGTTTGTTGTGGTTGCAAAGAGATACGGCCGTTCCGCGTCTTAATACGTTTTTAATAAAATACAATTTTGAACTCATTAAAATGCTAAAAACCGTTAAATAAAAATGTTGCATTAATTATTTTTAATAACTAAGCTTTTGATTATTTATAACGTTTTATTAAAGAAGATTTTCACAGAATGATTTTGGCAAAATGGCGCCCCCCTATGTGTGGCGCCCCATGCACTGCATATACTGCATACCCCGTTTTTGCACCACTGCTACCCAATAGTAATATTTATTATTAAAAATGGAAAGTTCAATTGTATACACTACCATTTAAAAATTTAGGGTTAGTAAAATTTATTAATTTGATCAAAAATACAGTAAAACATGAATATTGTGAAATATTATTACAGTTTATAATAACTGTTTTCTATTTGAATACACTGTAAAATGTCATTTATTTCCGCGATGGAAAAACTGAATTTTTAGCAGTGATCACATGTTTTCATTGTAACATGATCCTTCGGAAATCACTCTAATATGCTGATTTGGTGCTCAAGAACAATTTCTTATTATCAATGTTGAAAACAGTGGTGCTGATTAATATTTTTGTGGAAACTATGATACTTTTTTTTCAAGATTCTTTAAAAGCACAGCAATAGAAATAGAATAGAAATCCTTTGTAACATTATAAATCTCTTTACTGTCACTTTTGATCAATTTCATGCATACTTGTTGAATAAAAGTTTTAATTTCTTTCTTTTAAAACGCACTTGAATGCATATCGTAAGAAAGATGTTGTCTTCACTCTCAACTCTAGTTCACTGTGTGATAAGACACATAACAAAAAAGCATGACACATTGTCTATTCAGAGAATAAAAACGTTTTCTAAATATACACTCATCCACAAAATAAGGGTGAATTGCATGTAACTTTGTCTGTTCTGTTTTACAAAACTAGCCTTAACAAGTCTGTATTAAATCCATAATTATTTGAGAATAGCCTAAAAAGTGACAGTTATTTAAAACAATAAGAGTTATGGGTGGGAGGTTATCAAAAAAAAATAATAATAAGAGCAACAACTGTAATTCGACTAATGGCGTGTAGTAATCACACTGACTTATGCTCTGAGGTAAGAATAAACGTGCTAAACTCTATTAAGAAGATCACAATTGTCGCAACCCTGAGGTCACCTAGCAACCCCTGTCTGTGTTCACAACATCATCAAGCTGCAAACAGCCGGTGCTGGGAGAAATGCTCTGCTTATGCCTAAGCACACATGCAGGCACACATACAATGACAGACAAAACAGGAAACCACAGTCACCCATGTGTTTGGCCTAATTTGAGCTATTCTTGAAGAAATCAGATCGCAAACAGATGAAACACTGTCACCTTAATAAACTTACTCTCTACTTTATGGTTGTGGCAGACCACTGTCACAACAATATGCACCCCACCCTCCCCATTCATGAAGAATGATTGAGTTTGTTAATGTAAATACAGTGCCACGCTGTACAACAAAATACTGTGACATTTTCATCACATTTGTTTTGTTTTCATGTTCTAGAAGATGTACATTCAAAGCACCTTTCAAAATAGCTTTAGTGTAAAAGCCATTTACAGAACTGTCTGAAAACTACCACACAATAACAGCACATATAAATGGAGTTGGTCATAACTGACGTGTTACCTTTGCAGACAAAGCACTTGATGTGGAAGTGTTTGTTCTGCACCCGGAGCACCTCGCCTTTGCAGGGCTTGCCACAGTTTTGACACGGGATGGGGCCGCTCTGCCGCTGTCCCTTCTGCTGTTCCAGGGAACTGTGAACAGCCTGCTGGTGAAATGCTGTGGAGACACAGTGAGAAAAAAGTTTGGCTGAAAAGTGTATATATCCCCAAATACAGCATCAACTGACAGGTATAGAAACATTTAGGAATTAGTCGATAAACTATACTAATCTAACCTGACCTTAATCTGAATATTGGGGGAAACGTGTCTATGGTCCTCTATTACTAAAGTTAGCAGAAATAATAAGAGTAGTATGCAAGTATGCTAGAGCAAATTTAGACATTGAATAGTCAATATTGAAAATATTAATTATTTTATAAGTAACAATAATGTAGCACGTTACTTTGAAAAGTAAAAATCTTGAAGTTGTCTACATCATGCCATTGTCGTGAATTGTTTGACATCTGAGAATATCATTCAAGCCTACAGTTTAAAAAAAAATAAAAAATCAATAAAAAACAGTCGCCATGAATAAACTCATGAATAATGAGGGGTTTTTTTTCTCCCATGAATCTTTAAACTCTGGGTAAAGCCAGTGTACTTATTGGTAACTAAAACTAATAAAAATCAAATCAAATAAAACATAAATATTAGGTGGAAAGCTTTGAAAAAATTTTATACTTTTTTTTTTTAAATGTTGCCTTGGCAGATAACTGAAATAAATAAGTTGAAGTACTAAAATTACTAAACATAAAAATGAAATAATAACTAAAGTTAACCAGAAATATTAAGTGACAAAAACACATACAATTTATTAAAACATAAACTAATATTAAAAAAATAAATGCTAACTTAAAAAATCGGAATATTACACTATAATAGTATATTATTTTAAATATTTTAAATGTTTAAATGTGTTGCTTTAAAATGTAAATCCTGCCATTGTCTACAACATGTTATTGTTGTGATTTTTTTTTACATTTGGGAATATCATCTAAGTTAACATATTACTTAAAAAAAAAAAAAAACATTGTGCCCACTAAAACAAGAGAATGGATTAATAAGTCATGGGAATGAATTCTTGTCTCCCTCCCCCAGCATGTGCTGGGACCCATACTAAAATAGTACATGACCTTGTACCCTCTCACGCCATTGTTGACGGATAATCACAGAAACAGTGAAGATGAGTTTGCTGTAGACATGGATGATGTCAGGGCTCTGCTCTCCTTTGTAAATTTTTAAGCTGTCATTTGCGCCTGTCTGGAACCCAATATTCACACCTTCTCCATTACAAAGGCGTGTAAACTCAAACAAACACTTTATAATACAGTCCAAGACACAGCTAGAGAAAGACCTTCAACCTCTTGTTTTAAAAGGGCGTGTAGCAAAACTGGTTCTGTTGGACGTCCCGTTCAATTCTGTAGTGAGATTTTCACAACAGGTGTTCACTTTGTGAAGTCTACGGGATAAATGGCTACAGAGAAATGTGTTTTTGCTTGTTCTCAAAAGCAAGAACCTGTATTTGCCCCTCATTCATTGAGAAGTCTCTAAGAGCTGCTGGTTTCAGCTCGCTCACATAGACTTACTGAGCCTTTGTCTCTAATCAGATAAAAGTGCTTTGGGAGGAAACTACAGTAATCAATCAATGTGTGTGTATGTGTGTGTGTGTGTGTGTGTGACTGTATTTGTCATGTCACAGGGAAAGACGACCCATCTGCCAAGTCATAATAGTGGTAACACAGTATGAGACACCTATTTAAAGTCAATGTGAATTTCTATTTGCAACCAATTTTATTTTGTAATGTGACACATTTCAGAGAAAAAAATGGAGCCAGAACAATTCTGAGTTTGCTAAAACAATGCCTAAAAAAGATTTGGCTGTTGGTTAACATTATTGAATATAGCCTGCATGGACTAAACATCTTCAGCAGAAAAGTTGTTTCAAATGAGAAGCAAGTTATTACATTTTCATGAGTGAGATATTCCTCGAAACTCTAAATAAATCATTTGAAGCACTCTGAACCAGAAATGTTAGTTTAAGAATTTGTATTAGTCATTCAGATTGGCTGATGACAATAAACAGAAACAGGCTTACTAATTTGTCAATCCCTTTACCTGTACCATTAATCCACCAAATGGCACAACATCTCATTTATACTTATTATACAAATACGCTCTGGGAACGTCCACTACATTAACTTGTTTTTATAGATCCTAAGAGAGACTCTTGTGCTGCTGAAGCACAAGCAGAAGCAGTATGCTGGGAATATTTAAAGACTCCTTTAAAGCACAAACTATTTCCTGCTTTCACAGATCAGGTAGAGTTGTTAAACAATATTGGACATGCATGACAATCCAACCCTAAAAACGCAATGAAAAACTATGGACAACTCACTTTTAGCATGCTGACTGTATATGGTAATGCTTTATACCTGAATTAATCTTTTTAAGACAGATAGTATTTTCATAAACAGCTCTACAGGTTCTTTTTTTCCATAAAGTATGCTTCCAAAAAAAGAAAGGCAAGCTTTAAGTCCCATCAACCCTCATAAAGAGGTCAATGCATTTAACGAATGCCAGGTACAATCCAGCTATCCAAAACAAAGACCTATGCCCTAAGGGGACAGGAAGGACAAACGTTATCATTTTAGACCAGCATGCAATTGTTTTGCGTGTAGTCTACCATAAATTTAGACTCATGCTCATCTACATTTTTCAAACTTGGGCAAACCTAGTGCAGTTACTGTTAAAGGGGTCATATGATGATTTCCTTTCTCTTTGGAGTGTTACAAGCTGATTGTGCATAGATAAGATCCCTGAAGTTGCAAAGACTAAAGTCTCAAAACCAAAGAGATATTCTTTATCAAAGTTAAGACTCTGCCACACCCCTCTAAAACGGCTCGTTCTAACACGCCCCCACATA